AGTGAGCACGAAGGAGTTCATCTGTAATTTTTCAGAGAACTTTGCTATGATTGACACGGAGGTTATGTGCTCAAGGCCCACTGACGAGGACAGTCATGGTCCAATGTTTATTTCACTCAGACCAGCCTCCTTTTCATCTGGAGACAGAAGACAGTATCGCATGGGAGCAACTCTTCATGAGGCGAAACTGCGGAGGAAGGAGAGACAGAAAGAGAATAAAAGGAAAGGAAGGCCGCCAACTTCTGGTCAAGCAGCTTCATCGTCTGCAGCGGCATAATTTCTGAGCGAAGGCTGAAATTTAAATGATGGCTAGGAAGTGAAGATACTTCTGGTTACAGTTGATACTTTGCTTCCAGGCTTGACTTTAAGTTGCCAGGCTGAAGTTTTAATGAACTCTGGTTTGCAACCAGGAGAAACTTTTTATCAAAGAAGATACTCCTGCATTCCAGGTTTATACGCTTTAGCATGTAGATAGGTATGGACAGTTTTACATAACTGATGATATCTATCATCATCGCTCTTATGAAGTGACCTCTAATGGACAACCAGTCATGGTTGATGATTAAGTCATTTCATGATTTGCAATTGTAGTGCAAGATTTTTGTACATACATTTGCCGGTATCTCCTTCTTGTGTTTTTGATGTGAATGTGAAAGAGAGCCCTTTTGATGCAGTTTTATTTTGTCTGTGAATGAAAGCGGTCGAGACCACGTCGCGAGAAGATTATTCCTCGGACCGTACGCTCCTTGCATTTTGCAAGGCATCTTAATTCATTGCGTTGTGCGGTCTTGAATTTTCGTTTTTGGTTACGCGAGTGTCGTTTGATTCTTTTATAGGTCTCTGTAGAGAAAAAGCCGCTTTCCCTTTTTAGTTTGATTTAGCTCAGGCCATAAAGAGCTAGTGAGCGCCGGTACATGGTATCTCCACCTGCGAAAAGTACAGTCTCCAGCCGAGGTGCATTATCGTTTTGATTTTGTACTTGAGGTGAGTCAGCTATTGCTCCCTCACTGTATTTAGTAGCTATGAGATTATCTTCTCCAAAGTGTGAAACACACTGGATTAGATAAGTACATGGCACCGTAGTTTTCTTTTAAGTTGTCAGAGCTAGCTGGACTGTTTTAGCCTTGCAGTAGAAAAAGAGTATGCGACATACGCAATCAGCTAGAAGTGGACATGAATCTTGTGCCTGCTGAAAAGTAGAGCCTACCTGTACAGGGTTCCACTCCAACAGCTGATATAGTGTGTCCATGCTTGACTGCTCAAGGCTCAAAGAGCAAGAGGATAAGACTCTGCGCATAAAAGACACTAGCGGTCTGCACCTCTACCGTGTACGCCCTAGTCACTCTTTCACCCCCTTCCCCCCTTTAGAATCAATTCTCTCCTGGAGAACGTCTTCGTGAGCCTGTCATGATTTCAGGATAGTTGAAACCCTCTTGAACACTCAGAAAGAGTGAATATGAAATTCTAATCACGAAAGGTGTTCCCCGAGGGGATACATACCTAGAGTTTGTTTTGTGAAGCACGTCAATTCTCTCCTGGGGAGCGTCTTCGTGAGCCTCTTATGGTTTCAGGATAGTTCAAATCCTATGATGTTCCGATTCAATGCTCACCGATGATCTGAGCCATGGGGCAAGTTTGTTTTCCTAAGAATCTTTTTGAACATGTCGAGAGCACATGTTTGAACATTCAAAGTGCATATGAACATATATTTACGAAAGGTCGCCTCCGAGGGGATAAATCACCATGTCGAACATTGCATTTTTGTTCCTGCCTCTCGCGTTCTCTTCTCTTCCCGCTGTCCTACCTTTCGTGTCTCCCTCCTCTCAAATTTCGGTCAATCCATCGCTTCGCATTTGGTGCTTGATGTGAATGGCAGGATGAAGATGCAAACTTCGAAGATGTGGTGCGGACTTTAGCCAAATCAACGGAGCAAGGACAGGACGCTACTAGGGGCTCCTGGCCTTACTACTAGTAACAAGAAGCTACTAGGGGCTCCTGGCCTTACTACTAGGAGCAAGAAGCTACTAGGAGCAAAGGGCATCTATTTCTATTTCTCGACATTTAGACATTCTACAGTTGCACCCCTGTGCAGATGCTGTGGCTCTGCTGCTGCTGCTGCTGCTGGAATGCTACCAGAAACGATATCACCTCAACCCTCTCGAACTTGTGCAAGTGGCCAATGCTTGGTGAGGTGCGCATTTTACAAGAAGCTTGTGGATATTGAAGCCCAAGTGATCAGCCATGAGCTCGTTTTGCATTTATTTTCTTTCATGTGGAGGAGATTTCGCTTCAGGTCCAAGCGAAAAGTGGGGTACGACAGTGCGAACGTTCACAGCGCTTCCGTGGAGAAGTGGCAGATACGGTGCATAGCGGCTGCTGTTCTCGAAGGGTTTAATGGGGCTCTGCCAGACTGATATGATTTGGTGTGAACCCGGTCCTGGAACTCGGTGGTCTGACCAGAGCGATTTGGCAGATTGAGACGACATGCCGTCGCCATCCGTTGCCTGTGCAGTGCTTTGCCTGTGCTTGGGCCTCGGTGATGTACAAAGCACCAGAGAAGGCCTCTGGATACTGAAGCTCTGTGCGGCAAGCCCATACAAGCGGAGCTGAATGAAAAGAGAGCTGAGCACATTCACATACATGGTCAACATGGACCATCTCGCCCATAGGATTTGCTTGGACATGCTTGGACAATTCCACTTTTCCGCACCTTCTCAGCAGCTTGTTATCGGAGTTTGCAGTTACTGTATATATAGTCATATGTAAAAATATATATATATACACACACACTGCATACTGTATATACAACGTCACAGAAGGCCCACCTGAACCGATTCACTCAACGCAATGCGTCAGTTTACGGGCAGAGTTCTTGCACCTCCAATCTCAACCTGAGTACCCATTTTCAGACAGCGCAGAGATACAATACACTCTGTAATGGTTGTGCATCTCATCAGCTCAACAGCTCCGTAGACAGGATGAGGACCAGGACGAGATTGTTTGAACACAATAGACATGCTTTGCAAAGCAGCTTTGCTAGGGTGTGTACATGTTGTATCATGTTGTACTGAGTGGCAGGACATGCTGCCTCCATTGCCCCTGCGTGGTTCCCAGCTCAGTCACAAACGAACGCGTGATGAGTTGCTCCTAGCTCAAGGGCCGGCGCATCACCCGCTTCTGCTTCTGCATCGGCATCCTCCTGGCGCACTGAGCGTGGCAGGAAAACAACGCTTTGACCAAGTAGCTACTGAAAGCATCTAAAATCTCCTAAGTAGTTCAAGTGCAACCCCCCCGAACGGGATTCAGCCAGAGTTGTTGCAAGGCCCTTAGTGATCATGAACAATGAGTTTGACGGTAAAACATTATCAAAACAATCTTGGCAGTCTTGCAGAGACTTTTGCGCCTGCCAGACTTGCAGAGGAGCAGCGAGAGAGGGAAATCGGATCCTGGCGGCTTGAGCTTTGAAGAGAGAGCAAGCCTGGCGCCCAGGGCCAAGGCCACACTTTGCAGAGGGTCTAAAATAAAGAAAGGCATTATTGGCATACACACTTGAAGAAAGGAAGCGAAGAGAGGAAGGAGGGAAAGAGACACAGATTTCACGAGTCTAAAGAAAAAGAACCAAAGCAAGAAAATCCGTATTGCAGATTTTTCTAACCATGCCGTGGCCACAAGAAATCTAGAATGTTGATGAATTTGAGGCCGCTTGGCTGCCATCCGCGAAGCGGAAAGAGACGAACAAGCGGCCAAGCAGAAAGCTTTGGCCAAGCAGGACATCGTTTGGGAGTCAAGCTGAAACATGTTGTTTCTGATGTTTCTGGTCATGACCTTTTTAGATCTTATTAGAGTTTAGGAAAAAAACAGCACGACCTTTGCTAAGGGGTTCCTTTCCTGTTTGAATGTCGTGAATGGTGGTCATTTCAGGATTGAGTCAAGCATTGAGTTAAGGATGGTTTCTTTTACTGTACACCACTATAAAGAATAGAGACACATAAAAACCTTGTATTTGTACTTCAGTCAAACAAGTTCTTTGAAGCTCGGCTTCGGGCGAAGCTTGCAGGCCATTGAACTCTCCAAGGCTGCAGCTGGCCTCGCAGGCCTCGATCGGAATCTTGTCTTCTAGACGTCATGGAAAAAGATCTTGTCTTCGAGATGAGGCGCTTACCAAGATCGGTGGCGTTCTCCACGTGAGGTTCGACCATTGGCATCTCTTACCGTTTTACGCAAGCTTCATGTGCAAGATGTGAGAGGTTCGAGATGGAGATGCAGCAAAGAATATCGCCAATCTTCGATGTGCAATGGAGGAATGCTATTGAATGCTCATTCCGGCATGTTGCTGGTTTTCCTATGAGTTTGTCCTTTCCATGGACAGGCACAGCTGCTGTCGCATACTGATCAAGCAGATACAAGCAAAACATAGCAGAAAGGCCCAGGAAAGTAACCTTGCCCGCTCAAAGTCCCTAGCATGGGGTAGCATTATGTAATTGTTGTGCACCTTTGAGGGAAGATTAACAGAAGAACGGGGCTCGTGCAAGAAGACAAGAAAGCATGGGTGCACGCAACTACAACGGCCCGAACCCACCTCCGAACGCTTTGCAATACCCTGCTCCGGCATCTTGCCAAGAAAATGAGCCCAAGCACTTTGGAAGCAAAGAAACGCTTGCCATAGAATGATTAGAATGGATATGTTCTAAGTTCTAAGTGTGACATGACACACACTTAGTCATGGGGTTTGCAGTTAACTCAGTTCCACGAGGAAAAGGAATGATGGAACAGAATGGTGGCCAAGTCCGCGATCAACAGAATGTTTAACGTTTAACAAAAGTTGCAAAAAAAAACGCTCAACGAAAGCGATGATCAGCAGCTGCAATGCGGAGGGAAACCTGTTTGTGGAGAGTAGCATGCAAAACCACCATGAAACAAATCGAGAGTGGAACAGCGTGGTCAAAAGTTCCGACTGCAGGTACAGGAATGTGCGTCCACATTCCCTTCCGGCTGAATCCCATAGCTTCGTTGGCACGGCTAGGGAAACAGCTGCCATGCCCCCTGCTGTTGCAAAATCAAGAACTCTTAGAACTCTTAGAAGCAGAGTGTGACACACACACACACACACAGAGCCGCTTAGCGGCGCTCTGAAGAATGACAGCAGTCTTTTTTGGTCGGTTCAAAGATCGTTTGCAGTCAGATGCTGCGTGTCCTTTTTGGACATAGAGGTGGACAAGCTGTTCAGCTACTGCATGATCCGAGAGTGAAATTGCGTTCGCTGAATCGAATTCTGGAAAATTGACTGGTTGAATTAGAAATGTGTCAGCATACTTGAATCGCGTGAAACCGAGAAAGATGCGGAAAGTAGCACTTGAACCTTGAGTGCACTGCCGAAAGCAAGTGATCTGTGAGCCCGGCGGCGTCAAAACTCCGTAGCTCGGCAGCATTGGGGGCAGAAGATTCATGGGTGAAACAATGCAATCCAAAACCATAATTCCAGAGCTCAAAAACGCAAAGTCAATGTGTGATTCCCAATGGTATCGGCGCTCCCTTGCGGGAGATCACACTCCGCACCCAGTGGGACGACAGAGCGGCGCACACTTAGTCATAGGGTTTGCAGTTAACGCAGTTCTACGAGGAAAAGGAATGATGGAACAGAATGGTGGCCAAGTCCGCAATCAACAGAATGTTTAACAAAAGTTGCAAAAAGCGCTCAACGAAAGCGACGACCAGCAGCTGGAAACCTGTTTGTGGGGAGTAGCATGCAAAGCCACCATGAAACAAATCGAGAGTGGAACAGCGTGGTCAAAAGTTCCGGCTGCAGGTACAGGAGTGTGCGTCCACATTCCCTTCCGGCTGAATCCCATAGCTTCGTTGGCATGGCTAGGGAAACAGCTGCCATGTCCCCCTGCTTTTGCAAAATCAAGAACTCTTAGAACTCTTAGAAGCAGAGTGTGACACACACACACACACACTGGGCGTAATGGAATGAGTTCGTACAAGTGATGCCCAGGATTTACGACGCGAATGTATCGAAGCAAGAGCTCCAAGCCCGTTGGACACCACCGCAAGGAGCACAGTCCCGGAGAGAGACGTTTTTTTTTGCAGAGACGTTTTTCAATCAGATTCAGTGTTTCGAATGGCATGCTACAAAGCGAATTGGCTGGCAAATGGTGGTAACTGGTAACTGTGTTCCTGGTTGAATGGCCTACGCCACACCAATTAACTTAGACTGAGAAGGTTGGCAGTGTGTGCGTGACGGTTATGGGCGTCTACAGTACATGAGGAACGATCGAAACCACGGCCAGCCCACAAAAAGGAAATGCTATTCAGAGCTTCTCGTTTATCAAGAGTTCCATCTGAGATACTTTTCAGTATTTTTACACCCTCTCGAACTTTTCAGGATTTTCTGGCACAGCTTGGAGGGTTGGTGGCTTTCATCCCCACATGAATAGGCTGCAGGACTCACTTAGGGATTTGGCCTGGCAAGGGTCGGACTTGATATGCCTCAAGGTGTGCAAGCAGTGAATTCATATTCGAAGAAGTTCCTCACAGAGCTTGAGAATGTGCTTGGGTGTGCTGCAGTTTCGATGGCATTTTCCTAAGGTAGAAACCGCAAGCGAAACAACCATGAAAGGCGGGTTTCAAGATGTTTCAAGCAAGCATATACTAGTCACTGGGATTTTATATATATATATATATACAGATAGACAGCATCGAATTTTTAACCATCACCTGTGAACCCTTTGAAAGGGTGCTACAGCTTGCTTATCGTTCTGGGCTGAGCTGCTTGGGTTCCCTCTTTTGCGACGTCTCCGGCTGCTCCGGCGCTGCCTCCGGCTGACCTCGGGTGTGGTGGGTTGCTTGCGCGGGTTGCTGCTAGTAGCTTCTTGTTACTAGGAGTAAGGCCAGGAGCCCCTAGTAGCGTCCTTGCTCCTAGTAGCGATGCCCTTTGCTCCGTTCGTAGCGTCCTCTATGTTGCCACCTTCCTATCAATGTCCTACCCTTGGCTATTCGTGGTGCCTCCGGGCTGGGGCATTCGGGAATGGAAGAAGCAGGTCATCCCAGGCACTGTCTCAGGTTGCCTCTTTTGCAGTTTACATAAACTTCAAGCGCAACTTAGGACTTTCAGTTTTATCAGGCCCGGGCTGGGCTTTGAATGTTGGAACCCAGCAGGTGCCGGTAAAGGCCCAAGCCAACGTCCGCGAGCTTCTTCCGGCTGGAGGCAGGGCAGAACACCTGATTTTTCCCAGCTCACATTATTGGCACGACATTCTTAATTGCATGCACGTTTTGCAGGGCGTGCACCATGGATGATCCCATCAACACTGATTGGGTTGCTGACAACACTGTTTGTAAGGTTGTAAGGATTCAAACATGACCGCGAACTGTATGTTCATTGGTTGCATGTGTTCATAAACGTCACAGATTTCTCACACAGTCTTGCACCTGAAATTTGGTTCTTTTGCATGTGATGTTGACAGGCTGTCGGTGCAGTTGCCGTCAGCCAGATGCAGTTGTCATTTTAATTCTGCGGGCGCTTTGGAGACAGGTTGTCTCTGCAGATGCTGCGCAGGGTGTTGGAATTTGACAAAGCCTTTATCGATCGAAACAAATGGTTGGACAACCAGACTCCTTTCTGGGCATGTGGGATCTGCTTGCTGTTTGCTGGGGTCTATGCTGGTGCAATTTTCTATTAGCCTCTTCCATTCACCTTTTGTGCTCAAACAATAATATAGTAAACATCGCATATGTTGAAGTGATGCTTGTTCCAATCCAGCGTGATTGGCACCACATTGACCACTTCAAACAGTTTTTCATGATGTAGGCTCAACTTCAACACCATTAACTGCTGGTTCGGACATATATATATATAAGATGATATAAGCCATAAGCATTGTCAGCCCTAGGGGATGTTGCAGTGGCACGGAGGACCCATGGGTGCTCTGTTCTTTTCACTTGCTTGCTTTCCTTCCAACTATATATTCTCCTTCTGAATGATCTGAATGAGTCTTTGCAACCTTTCCAGTCATTCCAGTGGGCGTTCTTGAACCATTGCAATCATTATTTCCGAATGTTTTGGTGGCAAGTGATGTCCTTTGCTGATGCGCAGGCAGCCGTTCGGTGGAAAAGGTGAATCTTTCGGTAAGGGTACCACCTTCACTGAACGTCCCAGTCGTGACCTGCATCCTCAGCGGATGGTTTTTGGTGGGTGTCGTACCCAGCTGGGCAGTTTAGTTGAACATCAATGATTATCATGCTGATTGAGTGTCAGTGCGTGATTTTGTGCCTCACACCTTGAACTCTTCGAGGAATAAAATGTCCACTTGACTTCTGCTAAACTTCACAAAAAACGATTAGGGAGTAATTGGCAATTGCCTGATGGAAGCACACCAATCGCATGCAGTACCTTCTCGACATGCAGGATGCTTCCTGCATTCTAAGGTATTCAAAAGAACGAGCCTCATACGTCGCTAGCCACAAGGCCAACGGGTCATGTGTAGTGTAGACACTATACTGTACTATACGTGTAATCTATGCTCGGGCATGCTTGTAGTGGTGCCAGGTTGCCGAGAGGGTCAGGCTGGATGCTTTTGTTCCGGAAGCTGATCTGCTGAATGACAGAATTTGCGCCAGAGGAAGATGGGAGAAGGCCCAGAACGGCGAGCGATCCCCCCCAGTACAGAGTTCAGGCACACGTGTGATGAAAGTAGTGCTAACAACTCCACAGTTTGTACGGCCAGATGCTGACTATGACTGGGAAGATGAAGACTGGTGCTTCGAGCATGTTTTTTTTTTGCATTCATTCCAACATCCTGTTTCGCGCAGCCAGGTACGAAGGTGAGTGGGGTGATGGCGATTGGGGTGATGCTTGGGGATGGTATGGCTGGGATGGCTGGGACGAAGGGTGGCAATGGTAAAGTTAAAATCTGGGGGGCAAACGACAATTGCCAAGCAATTGGTCGTCGTGCCAGACTTGATTCCATTGCGTGGCATCAAAGCGTGCTTTTGACGACCCTTGCGCTTAAGTGCATGCCTTCAAGCCAGTACTCGCATGGCTGCAGCGACACAGTTGTTGGTGGCACAGCCAGATTGAACTTGCAGCCGAAGCCATTCAACTTCGGGAGGGAGATTGATGTAGCTGGTGGACTTGGCAGCTGAGCCTTGCATCGTTCCTTGACCAAACCTGGTTTGCGCTGTGATGTGTTGTGTCTGTATTCACACTTGCATTTAGCTTGCATTTGTAAGTTTTATGTTCACAATATTCACCAAAATGTCTTACCGGGACCTTTTGACTCAAGAGAGAACCAGCGTCGATTCACTGCATTTTTGCGAACACCCACCCACCCACCCAACCCTGTGATGGCCGATCCACCGGCCAAACCACCAGAGAAAATTCTACGAGCCTTCAAGGACAACCTTTCAACAGATCCCCTGGACTCCCCTGATGCTCAGGCCCGGTTGGGTGATGAGGGCTATGTGACGGTTGAGGACTTAGGCGATCGGTGGAACTCCCGGAGGAGGCCCGTGCAAATGGGCTCAGAGTTTCCGTTCGGGCGAACAAGGATTTGATGACCGCACCTCGGCTTTCGCGGCCATGAGACTGCTGCAAGCAGTCTGAGCAGCTAAGTAGATGTCCCAGACTCAGATGGGTGTTGGCCGTCAACCGGCCGAGACACCCGCGTGGCTAAGGGTCCATCGGACACCATGTGTGACCTGTGTCTTGGACGCTTCAAATGACACTTTCCTGAAACGCCAGTTCCGCAATGTGGCGGCAGGAGAGGTTGGCCCAACCCCAGTTTTGCCACCTTTCCTTGACCAAGGTGGAGTTGGATGAGTGGTACGAATGGTTACTGTATGGTCATTGTTCTATGGGGAGGACATCGCTGGACGCAAGCCCTTGTTCTGAATTGCAGAACGCGTAGGCGAATCGACTTGGCCAAGGTCCGTCATGACGACCTGCTTTGGCATCTGGTTCCACTACCCTGTGGGCGTTCAAGGATGGGAGCCGTCGCGTTGCAGCCCTCGAGCTGCTGGGCACACTTTTCCTCTGTTGTCGCCTTCTACGACAACAGGCTGACGTTCCTGGATGCCTTCGCCTACCAGTTGGCAGTGATAACTCCGGCAATGTTTTCCGCCTCTTGAACCTTTCTTCGAAGAAGCCCCGCACAGCGGCCATCCTGATGGAACTTGCGCTGCTGTTGCACCGTGAAGGCTGCAGTGTGGCCCTAGCCATATACCACGTGAGCACAACACCTGGGCGGATGAACTGACTCATCCTGATCTCCAAGTTTTGATGCGGCTCTCCGACTACTGGCGGCAGATGCCTTTTCCTGACCGAGGCCCACCCAAGATCCCTCTGTGTATGGCCTGCTACCAGGCGCCTCTGGCCCTGAGGGGGGCCAGACAGGGTGTACCAGGCACACGTGAGAGATTGCCTGTCACACCATTTGGACTTCAACTCTACACCATTTGGTGAGAACAAGCAGGGGTCAGAGGACCCAAGCACTACACCAAGCTCCTGAGAGAAAGAGGTTTTGCAGATCCTTTTGGAGTTTGGTTGGGTGATTTTTGTTTTTGAGTACATAGTTGCTTACTCAGTGTTGAACAAGACAAGCACTGGATTTTGCATTTTGGTGAGACGCCTGCAAGGGATGTTGCAGCTGCGCAGCATTGGGAGAACATTCTTGAGGAGAGCGCTTGTGACCGACCTTGCAATTGATCTCACCACGCGGACAAGTGATAACGAACTTTGGGTGAGACTTTCACAAGGGAAAAAACTAGAGGTGCGTTGTTTTCCAACTATGCTTATTATCCGGCCATTCGCCCATCGTGCACAGTTTTGTTATAGGTTTGTGAATGTTTGTGAACGTTTCTGTGAGAAGAGACATGGACTCTTTTGGTAGACCAATTGTATTTTCATTTCTATTATTGTGCACATACTCACTCTGAGGCAAGCCAGGCTCAATCCTGCGCTTGTGGGGTGAATTCGCCTGCATTTCACGGCAGGGAGTACAATTACAGTGAACCCCACAGTCGGGGGATGTTGTTTCTGCACAACTCAAACCCAATGCAGTTCTCGCGCTTGACCCTAGCAAGGATGGAACTGCCATTGCGAACGTTGTCAACCTGGTCGCAACATTCCAGCAGCCTAACACCAAACTAATTTTTCAGTGTCGAATTTTGCATTGATGACATCATGTCGAACCCGGCTTCTAATCAATGACCAGAATTGATCTCTTGAGATGACATGGAGATGGATACGCAAGCATGCGGACACCGTTTATGGATCTATTTTGCATAGCGACTTGCAGACATGGTGATGATATGATGCAATTTCTTAGGCAGCACCACACCCTGCATGATGGGCTCTCTCCTCAGCAGGGAAGCTTAGCCACTGGGTTCCGACAAACAAGGCTCAACTTGCCAAGTAGCGAGACCCAATCAAATGCAATGCAAAGCAAAAACCAAAGCAGATGTATATATCTGTTTTTTACTGTACTGTTTCATTGTTTTTCTGTGCTTGTCTTGCTTTTCCTTGCTTTTCACTGCTTCTCTGCTTTTCTTGCTTTTCCTGCTTTTCTGCGCTTGCGTTGCTCTTCCTTGCTTTTCATTGCTTCTTGTGAATCCTCTTTCTTTTGCTGCTTTTTGTGCCTTCTTTCTTGCTTGGTTGGTGATTCCGGTTGTTTCTCCTGGTTATGTTTTTCCTTTTTGTCATCATTTTTGTAGCGTAGTGAGTCTCTTTCGGAATGTTTTTCTTTCTATGATCTTTGTTGCTGTCGCTTTTGATTAGTTGTTTTGAGTCCTTGAGTCAGGGAGGCGTAATGAATCTTTGCTAGCTTTTCTGTATGCTTTACCTACTCTTGGTGTTCTGCACCACTGGTGATGCACCTGTCTAATACGCGGGGATAGTGGAGTGGAGCTCCTAGTGCTCGACTTTCTGCTTCGTGTGCGCCCAGAACCAGTAGCATGCGCATACGAGCCACCCGGATTTTGCCCATTCATATATGGTGTGGATGCTAAGATCAGGATGCCGAGGTTCACTTAGTGCTGCGATAGTCACAAAATCTACACAAAGTCACTCAGATCACTAAGTGCCTTGCCTTCTACAACTTTTGTCTCAGCTTACACAACCCTTCGCCCGCCATTTTTTTAACATTTGCAAAAGGTGCTTAACATATTTAGATACCATCAGTCCACCGCAACCCCATAATGGCGGATGCTAAGGGCCACCAGACCCTGGCCATCTCACAAAAGACTTGAATGCTTAGATCAGCGAGGTTTACAAGGCACTGCCAAGGTAACATTTTGGCAAAGAGGAAAGGGGCCACTCCAACATAGCACTCCAACATAGTACATCTTTTGCTAAGAGCTACCAGGCTTTTGCGACCTAGACCATCCTAGACCTAGACGCTAAGATCAGCGTTGCGTGCTCCCCAAAGTGCACTTCAAGGTTCAAAAACGCCGCTCCAGCTATACCAGCACCAAAACCTGACAAAAACAGACAACTATATAACTATATAATAATCAAAAACCAATTCCGGCACCAAAGCCAAAAACGAGCGCACGCAAACTCGAACCAAAGCCAAACCACAGAACAACTGACAACACACCAGTCAATTCGAGCTTTGCTTTCTACACTTGTGAGAGGCGGCAATGCTTGCACCTTTCGCTGTTCACACCGACAGAACTCCGTAGCTAGCAGCTATGGCTGTATTGGATGTAGGCACACGGTATCACAACGCGTGGCTTGTTTAATACCACTAGTAGCATACAACTTGTACGAGGGTTTTCAGGACACCCAGGCTCAGTAATGTTTTTTTGTCACCATCTACTGAGGTCTTCAGCCCTTTCAGCCCTTGCAACTCAACTTTCCCGAGGCCTATCGGTGATGATGTTGTGCAAGTCTGGGGTGAGTGCCTAGCGGTCATCCCGATATCGCCGCAGCTTTTGGCACAATGTCAAATATTGAAGGAACTACCAAGATACCAAGGGAATTAGCAACTACAGCAAAAGGCTGGCCAGCTTTAAAAGGTGTGGCCTGTTGAGATGGCTTCACCAATTGTCAGCGCTGATGAGGAGGTACGGAACAAATAAACTTCTTTCCTCATAAAGATTGGGTCCAAATGATAGATCGACACATATTGACACGTAGGTTCCAGAAGTCCTGGAGATTCCATAAGCGTATGACGAATGCGCCTGAGAGCCCTTGCAGAAGCACTAGACCTGCAAGTGATTCGTCACCACTCGCTGATTGGTTGCATTTGGCGTCTCTTGAGTGTTCAACGGGTTTGCATGATTCAACAGTTTCTTAATGTTGCTTGTCTCTAGATTCTAGCCTTCAAGAAACATTGCCTTTTCCCCGAACTAACTACCTGCTATTGTGCCTGTAGCTGAGGCTGTCCTGCGAAAGGTGACTTGCTTGCGCTGGGTCTTTGTCACACCAAAAACACCATGCGGCCTCAGGTTGCTCAAAAATTTGGGCTTCTTGCTCCGGAGTCACAAGCTCACCCTGTTTACTTCTCAGATGCTCATTCCGTTGTTGTATGTGGTGATCCATGGTGATCCTCCTTACTGCAGGATCCTCTGCTTTGTCAGCGTGGCGAGCAGCCGGCAACAGAGGAACTTCACAGTTGACATGTAGAATGCATAGGCATAGCTCATAGTGCATCCTTACAAATTGTCCTACCACTTGGTCGCGACAGCGTTGCGGCAGTCCACTTTAATTGCAGTTTTCTACGTACGTACAGTGTACACGCGTATATACAAGCAACATACACATGTAGGGAGTGGAGATCCCGTTTTTTTGGCATTTTCAAACACATTTTACAGCCAGCCAACCGCAGAAGTGGTGGACGCTTCTGCCCTTGGAACCCCGGAAGTATCAGCGGGCGATTGCTGGAATCTTGGTGAAACGGAGAGTCCGATGCCACGGCGTGCTAAGGAGCCCCCTAGTAGCGTCCTTGCTCCTAGTAGCGATGCCCTTTGCTCCTAGTAGCGTCCTTGCTACGCTGTGTGCTACATTGTGTGCTACACGGTTCCCTAGGTCTTCGACACTGAAACCTCGGGCTTTGGCGCAGATGACGAGATTCTAGAGATTGGCGCGGTGGAGTTCGAGGTCGACCTCTTTTGTTGACTGCTTTCTTTCTTTCTTTCTTCCTTTCTCTAGACCTTTGATGATAAAGCTTTTAGACATGTTTTTCAATCGTTTCTTTCATTCAAGTGTTTTGTGTAACTTGTGCAAGAATTCTTAGGTTTTTGTTGTACTGTAGGTCTGTCCGCCGCACTCTTCAATGGGGACCTTTTCGTCTTTCCGACCAACTGGCAAGTGCTTTCACAGTCTCCCCCTTGGCAGAGGGGACATGCAAAACCAATGGATGATCTTCCTTTGCCCTGGGCTGCACTATCCCTTCCTTGCAACGCTTGTACCAAGCAGAACGCTGCTGAACACAATGCTAGAAAAAAGATGAAAAAAGGACACTTTCATAGGCTTCCTAAGCTTGTGGAAATGAGGCCTCCTGCGGCCAACAAGGCCAATCAATGCCAAAGCATCAGAAGTCAACGGGCTTTACTTCGATGAGATGCAGGCTGCGGCTGGATAACTGAATCGCCATCACCATGTGAGACACATGATCCTGGGTCAGGCGGCAGCATCCAGACCACACACTTTGCGAAGTTTCATGCAGTTCGCTGCTGGAGAAAACACTGCATTGGTCGCCCACAACGCTGCCTTTGACCTGAGGACTGCCCAGTACTAAGCAATGGCACAGGTGCTGTGCTTTTTCAACCTGCTATGTACTTCGATCCCTTGCCATTTGGCCCAAAGAGCCTTGCTCCTTTTGTTTTAAGCTGTTGTGTATACGAATGCCTCACTCTGACGTTTTCAGGCAAGGAAATGCAGAGAAACGGAGAAACAGAGACAGTTTGAGCCATTGCCCTGAGTAGCAGGGCAAATGAACATCCAACAATACGACATGGGAAGAAGGAGGGACAGGAGGGAGAAGGAGGGAGAAGGAGGGAGGAGGCAGACACAGGCAGACGCAGAGACAGACATGCGAGGTGATGGCACAAGGCTGGAACCCATCAATCGTGTGCCACCCAGCCTGCCCCTGTGGCCAACCCCCATTTGCAGACACCTGAGTCAACCTGAGGCCTGCACACCGCAGAAGATCAAAAAGCAGATCGCAGAGTGAGACTTCTCTAAATTAGAATTTTCATGATTTTTCAAAATAGTGCAATTTGCACAAAAAGAAATTTAGATTTTGATGAGAGGTGTAGGGAAGATGGCCTGCGACTGCTTAAGAGTTGTTGGACAGGTGAAAATCGCGTGCTTACGGCTCACATTCAGGGCGAAAAGCAGGCCAGCATTGTGAGTATGTATGGCAAACATATTTTGCCTGACACACTTGTGCTTGTCGTGTTGCCTCCCCAAAGGTGGTAATAATGCATGTTTGTTGTACTGCTCTCCCGTTGCACCTGTTTACTGGTGCAGGTTGAGAAAGAAAAGCAGAGGCTGCAAGAAGTGCTCAGAAAGCGCCAGGAAATGGTGGACAATCATCAACAGGCCTATCAGTTCTCAAAAAGAATCCGAGCTCTACTCCGCGTAGCTTCCTGACTGCCTCCATCCCGGTCTTTCGCTTTGATATCCATTCCCTCAAAAAAGGAAGTGAAGAACAGAGAAAGGAAGGAATCACATTTCAATCAATTCTTCTTCATACGATGTTCTTTTGCCCGACGTTGCGATGTCAGCCAGGTGCTGGAAAGAATGGCACAGGAGCAAACTCCATTGCCAAATTGTATCAATTGACAGGTGACTTGAGAAGTTTGTTGGGAGCAAGTTGATGTGAGTCAGGGTCAGAATTTCTGACGTTTACCTTTACCAAGAACGGTATATGCTTTTTTGAAGACGTCTCCCTTCAGCAATGACACGGGATGTCCGGAAAGGAACAATAACCTGGTAGACTTTGCTTCAGATTGGAATGCAGTAGAGGATGCCCTAATCCTAACTGCACACCAAGCAATCGCAACTCCCTCAAAACCATCTACCCGTAGCCTGCACCATCGACCATATCAGACCATCTCCCACCCTTGCACCTCCAACTCACTCTTCCTGATTAACATCTCCCACATGCACTTACTGATCCGTTCTTTCCCAGTGCATTTCCCCCAATCATGAAATCCCAGAACAATTTTTTTTTCAAACCAACCAAGTTAGAAGCTGCTTTTGGAGGAAGTGTATTGGATGCGTGACGGATGTGTGACTGAAATGATACTTGGTGCTGTGCTCCAGGAGCATGACACAAGTCTCAGAACAATGGCAGCTTGCCAGATGATTAACGCCTTTCATTTTTGCCACTTACCTCATTTTTGCAAGCAGCCTTTGTTGAGGTTCGCAGAACTGAAGAAGAATTGGAAGAGAGCGCAAATGGGCAATTGAAAGCAAATGAAGAATGCAGCTTGGAGTTATTGTGGCATCACCATTCAATTTCAGCTACTCGTAGTTTCAACACAGCGCAGGCAAGCATGTTTCAGTCTTTGTGGTGGATTCACCTTGCTTCCTGGAGATTTCACTCGCACAGAATCAGGTAGACTCATGTTGAGCAAAGCAGACGATCTGGACAAGAAGAAGCTGACACTGGAAAAAGAAGTAAAGCGTTTGTACAGCCTCTTTCTTGCAGAGTGAAAGCTTTGACGACTTTGTTCATTTAGTTGGGATGCTGCTAGCTTGTGACCAACCTATCGTCAGTACTTGGAGTGCGGCAGGCCACAAAGACAGGCAATAACAACTGAACCATTGGACATTCCAATTCTGGTGGGTTCGCTAAATCCGAATGAACTGGATATTTGATGAGGCTTGCTCGATAAGCTGCAGAAGGACTCCGTGGCAAAGTTTTGAAAGTATACAGGCTTAAGATCTTGGACTTGACCACCCTTTGTTAGCACTGGTGACAACAGATGCCTTCCCTGAGGGGTGCCTTTCTTATGACCTGGTGCTGGTAGCTTTGAGATTGCAGGACTTTGATCAAAGGCGACAGATGATGATGCAGGTCGCTGAAGACACTGTCCCAAGCTCAGAGTCCTGAGTCTTTTCGGTAGAGGGAAGACCCATTGATGAGTTGAAGTGACTTGAAATTGGATAGATGCCTAGTACTGTAATAGCAAACGACAAAGGTCCGCAGGTCCTTCCATTGCACAGCGGAGAGCCATGGCTGCAGAATCATGCAAACATCTCAAGAGTGAAGTGGAATCTCAAAAACGAAAGAAAGAACAGAGAAAAGGAACAATCAACGATTCAAAGGAACTAATTACTGTATATAAAAGGGGAAATAAAGTCAAAAAAAGGAAAGATCCGGCTTTTCTCCACATCCACCTTTCCGAGCTTTGCTTTTGTCCGGCTCTCGCAGGGAGGTGAGGAACACCTCACTGTTCGCTCAAGAAGTTCAAACAGACGCCTTCATGACGATTGATCGCATGCAGGCGGATCCTTCACATTTCAATACAGGTGTTTTTGATGTTCAACTGTTGAGAGAGTTTGGATAGCGTTGTGTGAGGAAGAAATCAAGACCACTGCTGAAGTGGCAGATGCCATGGCTGAATCCAGAAGCAGGTAGAACACAGGGCTGCATTGAAGTTGTTGCCGACAATACGCAGCAAACCTCGCAGTTGTTGCGTCGAGGTTCGAAGCTCTTCACAAAGTTGGAGCAAGTCGTACGATCAAAGGCATCTCCGAGGATCAATTTCAGAGCGTTCTTTGAATGCAGTTGGAGACAGATATATTTGATCATACGTATGTATAATAGCTATATCGGTTGCAAATGTTTCGCACAGTTCTGCCAAGGAAAAGCAGCAAATCATGCAGAAGTGGTGGAGTTCTTGGGAAGGTTCCGGTCGCAGATTTTCTTCAGCAGCAAGTCTGTAAACATACGACGATGTTCCCGGTCGCCGTCTTCAGGCCATATGTCCTCGCTTTCTCCAGGTCCACCTTCGTTAGCTCAGGTGCGTATTGGATCCTATTGGTTCAGTTTTGGAACACGTTGTAACATGATGTAACACGGCCCATGATCATTTTCTTACTCAAAAAACTAAAAAGAGTTTCGCATGGCGATACCTTTTTGCGATGCCTCTGGACGTTTTTGCTCTGACAGATTACGGCATCAAGACCGGACACGCCCATGGTGCCCTCGGCGCCTCGCCCGAGGCTGTGTGATGAACATGATGAACCCACAAGTGACATCAAGATCAAGTTACATGAAACATGCTAAGCATCAGTAATTACAGTAATGTCTATGAAATCTTGGGGAATGGACTGGACACGACATGTAACACTAATATAACTATATACTCCACCCCTAGCCTAGTGACGATAGTTTTACTGTACTGAAAGCTAGGCTAGTTTCAGATAGAAGATATTGATTCTAGATGATTCGAGCTTGCACTTTGGTAGGTCTGTGGAGTTGGCCAGACAGAAGGCTGAAAGCCAATCGTTGCTCGGTACCTGATGAGCTAGTAGGTTGGAGGCCATCGCGTCTAGGTTGGAGGTCATTGCTAGTAGGTTAGCTGCGTGACGTCAGCGTATTGGCTGCGATGCTTCAGGCTGTTCTATTCACAGAGAGGCAGTGCTCTACCTGCACTTATGACACAGGAGGACGCGGCTGCTTGGTGTTTGGTTTCATTTCATCTGGCACTTGCCCAAATATTTGAGTGATTTGTGATTGATTTCATTTTCATACAGTTTGCAGCCTCGGGCAGCACTGCCAACAAATGATGTCATGATGTCATCAACGCGTCCTTAGGGTGAGTCATGAGTCACAGCTAGTATTGCAAACCCAAATGCTAATGAACCAGTCCAGGTGGTTTCTTTGACATGCTGTCGCTTTTGATTCAAGCAAAATGGTTCAAAACGAGAGTAATTGCATATTGAATTGACATACTGAGCACTTAGTTTACTTACTGAGAATGCGGCTGTACTGATCGAAACCTTCGTGATCGCAGGATGATCGGCCACAGACTGCCCCATGAGAGAGAGGTTTTAGCTTGAGATTCTGGGATCCATAGCCATTTATCAGAAATAACAACAATACAGCAGATATGCTTTTATTTACTTACAAGTGAGATGCCTGGGCCTTGATTTGCGTTTCACCAACATTTTGAGGGAAGGCAGAAATCGCCTCGGCTGAAACGGTCAACCCTCGCTCAAAAAGTTGGATGACAAAACAGGGGCTTACGGCGTTCAGCAGACGTTCAGCAGATTCTTGACAAGCTAAAGACTCGTATGGTTTCTTTTTTGGGGTTTGCACATGTTTGCAATAGTTATATAACTAACCTGCACGAAGTGAATGCCACACGTTTTCAAGTCCACCAGGATGATGCTCCAAGACTTGAAGCGTTGTGGACTTGAAGGAGAGGGCATCAGGAGCCTCTGGCTGAGTGACATAGGGTGACTTTGCCGCCAATGCTTGTGAGAATGTTTTGAGGACTCCAAATGCTTTTTGTTTTAAAGCCCGCTCCCCGCCTCCCTACTTAATGAAGTAGGCGCCTACTTAATTAAGACACTCTAGTACGCTACTAGCTACTAGTACGCTACTAGCATGGAAGCAGGATAGCTCACGCTTCTTCAAGGAAGCTCCCCCCGCCTGAGGGCGAGGGGGGGAGCTTCCTTCCTTGAAGAAGCGCTGGCACTATTCATTTGGTTCGTAGATTTTTAGGGAAACTTAACCTTTCCAGTCTTTCTTCCCTAAGACAAACTCTTCTTTTGAAGGCTAGGGCAGCGATGCTTTTGCGGCCAGCTCAGCAAGGTACTAGGGCTTGGTGCTATTTGAAGGAGTACTCACTTGATAATAGCCCGAACCCCAAATCACACAACGGGTCGGACTCAAGGCAGTGCGGCAGCGTTTGCAGCCTTCAGGAGGGTGACAAACCAAAGCGATGGCCCTTCTTTCGATGCTCCTTCTTTCGCTTCGATTGCTCTTTGGAGGCCCTCGAGCCCTCGAGACTTAACCAGCGCTTGTTGCTTGCCGGAAGTGGACACAACATGACACAACAGAGTAACAGATGACGATAGAACTGAAGAACTGAGCAACAGAGTAGCAGTGTAATTCCGTGCTTGTTGATGGGCATTATCATTCGAAGGTTACTTGCTGGATATACCAGAGGGCAGTCCAGGAAGCACGTGACCCTGAGCCACCGAATTGGACATCCACTACCAACCTGTTTCAAACTCTTCGTCACAAGGTTTGGAGAACGACTCACTCAGCGATGATCGACGCTGTTTTGACTGCAAAGGTGCAGGATCATAGGGTATTCGATACTGTTTTCGTTCATTCCCACTGGCCATTTGGGAAGTGGTATCCTGACCAAAGTTGGGCTTACCTGTGCAATTTCCTTGCAGGTTGTGCTTGCGATTTCTTCCAAATTGGCGAGTCAGGGAGGTGAGGAACATGTGCTTGCATCTCAGCCTTGCTTGCAAAGTTCCCACACTGTGGCATGGATATGCATCGATGTCCAGGCTTTATTTACTATCGTCTCTTAATTTTCTGTCCCTGTCTATCCTCTACGCTGTATTGTATTCAGCAAGGCATGGACCAACATCATTGTCCATGCCGTGCAGATTGCCATCCTCTCCATCCGGGTCAAGCTCAGAAGTGCTCGCCCAAGGAAGTTTCGGGTGAGGAAGCCTGGGTTGTTTCGGTTGAGGAAGCCTGGGTTGTGGCAAGAGCATCGTTGACAACGATAGTTGAGCCAGGTGACTCTCAGTTGACTTGGACATTTGGTGTGGTATAGTATGTACAATATAATATCAGGCCACCCAACTTTGACACCAGACACACATACTGTAGTAGTTCCTTCAAGACTAAGACAGAGCACTGCAAAAACTGCCGCTTGGGATGTGACATAGGGCCACTAAAGAGGTGCTTTCAACCATCACAAAAGCACCAGGCGCCTTGCAGCGCCGCGCCCAACTAGCGTCCACTGTTAGGTGTCAACACAGCAACAGCATCGTTTCATATCTATTTGCCTATAGAACTCTTGGTATCAAAGATTATTCAGTGCCACGCACCGCTGTTCACGGTTGTTTGCAGCTTTTCAATGCTTTTCATAGAAGTTAACGTGTCAGTTCTCGTAGAATCGCAGTCTATTGCTTGAGTGACGAACCAAGGTGCTGGTGCAAAAGGGGCAGAAGCGGCGCTTGCCTAGCACCTTTGCGAGCGCAGCAGAGTGAGACTGAAAAAGGATGAGCTGATGAGTTAAACGACAGGACGCTTTGCTCCGCACCAGACAGGGGGGTCTTGCATGCACAACAACTGTAACTGTATACTGTCTACCTGCAATGTTTCAAATTTTTGACCTTCTTAATAGAAGATGTCCTTCTTCATCAAATTTCATCAGCCAGGTTTCTTAGTTCTTAATATATAGATCCCAACATTTTCTTAAGCCAGAGACTTTAGGGTCTCGGCTCTTTCCGATCTGGTTGAAAAGGAAACTTAAAGGGCCTCACGTCAAAGCCCCAGATGGAAAACAGATGGCGCCTGCGACACAAACAGACAACATCAGACAACAAAGATGCCGCATAGTGCTCCAGGTCGCAAAACATGCAGGCACGACAGCCACAATACACTGAACTTCAGCAACATCCTGCGAAGGCAGGCTGAGAAACATGCTGAGGAAGTTTGACAAAACCTTCTCAACAACCCCACGACTGTGCAAACAAGACATCTTTGGTCATACAAGGTTGTAGACCAACCGTGGCAAACCCATCTAACATAAAGTTCATGCAGGAAACACATCACCGATTTGCTCAAGGTCCATGGCCCATGGTGGTTGTGAAAGTATTACTGTATATCACGAAAGGTAGCTTGAGCTACCTGAGTTCTCCTTGCTTTAGCAAACATGTATTACAATCAGGAGTTGGCATTGTGCATTGAGTTTGGTCCTGTAAGAGATGATTCTGTTCGTCGGGGGCCCCCCTGGATCAAATCCCCCCTGCGCCGGTTCACGCCGTCATGGACTTCTACCAGGGTTACTTGTGATTGCCTGCTACCTTTCGTTCACCCCCTCCTCTCTCAAGTTAGTTTGTAGATGGGATTTGAAAAGGGCATCTCGAAGCTTTGAAACATGTCATACTTCTGGCAACAATGAACATGTACTAAGATCATGTAATGGGCTTAAGGACATCCCTTCATTACGAAAACCCCTCAACCTGGTTGCGGGCCAGCTTGCCGGACCTCGTCAGCAAAACCGACGGCAAAACATGACCTGACCAAGATTCCGCCAGGCAAGGTGCAGGGAAGAGCAACCTGTCTCCGGGCTTGAGCTACTTCACTTTCCCATGCTGCAGCCCCAAGCCTTGACGGCCGAGACATGTATATAGATGGCACTACAGCGCCTTTACGAGAAGCAATGACAACTCTCTTAGGCCATTCGATCCACAAGGTGAGCTGCAGGCCATTTCCTACAAGTTCCATATTTGTTTCCTAGCTCTAGGAGTGTTCACCAGTTCCACATTGAGAGATGTCAGGAGGCGCCTCCAATGCTTTGCCGTGGCAAGAAAGGGCACAAAAAGCCTGGCCGAAAAACCATGGGAATTGTGGTATGCTTATCAGCTTTAAAACTATTTGCATCAAACAACGAAGTATTCACAGCAAAATCAAGAGTCAAAGTATCAAACAGAACATGTTACTGTAAGTTTCCCTAAAAATCTAGGAACCAAATCATTAGTGCGAGCGCTTCTTCAAGGAAGCTTGCGGGGGGAGTTTCCTTGAAGAAGCGCGAGCTATCCAGCGTCCTGTTCCTAGTAGCTTAAGTAAGCTACTAGCTGCACTAGCTACCTCTCCCTCCTAGCGGCCTACCCTCCTCCCGCGGGAAAGAACCTCTCAGGTCAGCACAAAATCGCGGAGAAGGGTTGCCCAGAGAGGCCAGGCAGACGGGTTGACGATTGCAGATACAGTATTTTTAGGCAAGAGCAGATGGCGTGGAGAAAATCTGCCTGTTTGCAGGTACACTGCACTGATGCCACACCTGCAAAAGCCACCAGAGATGCCTTACTCATGACGAGCAGCTGTGGCAAAAGAATCGTTGTGTGTTTGTGCCATAGATTTTGGACCTCGTTACTGGCATGTGACAGATGCTTTGACCAACCTTTGTAAATGTTTACTCCGTCTGCCAGCTTTGTTGCATGCTAGAGCGTAGCTTGCAAAGCTATGGCGCTCATCCAACCCATGTTCCAAGCCGGGGTGAGACCTGCAACGTCCCACTGGGTACAGGTCTCCAGGCCGGGCGAAAGAGATACAGGCTTTGGAAAAAGCCAGGGCTCTGACAGCTTGCGCCGCTTGCGCACAGAACGAAGTCTTGGGGCCCTTTTGCTGGGTGCAAGCCTTAGCGGCCTTGGGGCAGGCTTTTGTAGGTCGAGCTCTAGCAAACACCGCAGAGCACGAAGCCCTGTTTATGCTTCGCAGTCTGATGTCGAGCACGGGGTGTCAGACCAGCTTGTGAGGTATATGGGTGGCAATGTTGTTGTTCGCGCTGTTTGTGCAACCGAACTTGTGCAAAAGGTGGTTGGCCAGCATCAGTGTTCCGCCATGGCTGGCATTGCACTTGGGCGGGCATTGATGGCAACAACCCTTTTGGCGAATGGTCGAGACGAAGGGGAGAGTTTGCAGTTGAGGATACAGGGTGATGGACCCATTGGTTCTATCATCGCAGAGGCTTCCTCAGCTTTGACTGTTCGTGGCATGGTTGGCAACCCTATGGCCGAGGCATCCTCAGTCCCAGAGCTTGTCGGCTTGGGAGCTGGTTCCACGCTGCGGTTGACCAGGACGCATCCCTATTGGAAACGGCCTTATACAGGCACTATAGCCCTGAAGTGTGGCGAGATAGCGGAGGATGTTGTTCAGTACCTGGGAATGAGCGAGCAAACCCCAGCATCCATGGGCTTGAGCGTAGAGTGGGACTCTGAGGCCGGTTCTGCAAAGCCTTTTGTTGCCTACTACTACTGCTACTACTACTGCTGCTACTACTACTCCTGCTGCTACTACTACTACTCCTACTACTACTACTACTACTGCTACTGCTACTACTACAAAACTACTACTACTACTACTACGACTACTACTACTACTACTACTACTACAAAACTACTACTACTACAAAACTACTACTACTACCACTACCACTACTACTACTACTACTACTACTACTACTACTACTACTACTACTAC